TTCATAAAGAAATCATTTATATAATGTGGAACAGTTCATAAAGAAATCCTTTATATAATGGTGAACAGTTCATAAAGAAATCATTTATATAATGTGGAACAGTTCATAAAGAAATCCTTTATATAATGGCGAACAGTTCATAAAGAAATCCTTTATATAATGGTGAACAGTTCATAAAGAAATCATTTATATAATGGGGAACACTTCATAAAGAAATCATTATAATGGGGAACAGTTCATAAAGAAATCTTTATAATGGGGAACAGTTCATAAAGAAATCATTATAATTGGGAACATTTCATAAAGAAATCATTATAATGGGGAACAGCTCATAAAGAAATCATTATAATGGGGAACAGCTCATAAAGAAATCATTATAATGGGGAACAGTTCATAAAGAAATCATTATTATGGGGAACAGTTCATAAAGAAATCCTTTATATAACGGGGAACAGTTCATAAAGAAATCATTTATATAATGGGGAACAATTCATAAAGAAATCATTTATATAATGGGGAACACTTCATAAAGAAATCATTATAATGGGGAACAGTTCATAAAGAAATCCTTTATATAATGGGGAACAGTTCATAAAGAAGTCATTTATATAATGGGGAACAGTTCATTAAGAAATCATGTATATAATGGGGAACAGTTCATAAAGAAATCATTATAATGGAGAACAGTTCATAAAGAAATCATTATAATGGGGAACAGTTCATAAAGAAATCTTTTATATAATGGGGAACAGTTCATAAAGAAATCTTTTATATAATGGGGAACAGTTCATAAAGAAATCCTTTATATAATGGGGAACAGTTCAAAAGAAATCATTTATATCATGGGGAACAGTTCATTAAGAAATCATGTATATAATGGGGAACAGTTCATAAAGAAGTCATTTATATAATGGGGAACAGTTCATTAAGAAATCATGTATATAATGGGGAACAGTTCATAAAGAAGTCATTTATATAATGGGGAACAGTTCATTAAGAAATCATTTATATAATGGGGAACAGTTCATTAAGAAATCATGTATATAATGGGGAACAGTTCATAAAGAAATCATTATAATTGGGAACATTTCATAAAGAAATCATTATAATGAAGAACATAAAAAGTGGTCTCTTAATACAGGTGGTCTATTAATAGAGGTTCAGTTCATAAAGGAATCACTGTCATGGGAAAAATTAAAAGTGATCTCTTTAAGAAGATTGTCTCTTAAAGAAGGTTGTCCCATGAGAGAGTTTGACATGTAATATTTAACTTTACACTGACATGAACTTAAAAAATAAAGAAATAAAGAAATTGAAAATGAAGTCCCCAGGAATGTTTATAAGGATATTTACATGAAGCTGTAACAAAGTTCATTCAAGGCCACATAGCTGTATATCATGAGCTCGAAAAAGATACGTAAGATTAACTTTCACAACAATTTTTGATTCAAAAGTCACCTCATTTTGAACACGCAATTCATTGCGATACATACATTTAAAAATTAATCCATAAAAATAAAACATTTTAGGATAAATTGACTTTTAAAAGTGAAGCAAGTTTTAAGAAATGAGAGATGGGCAAGAGAAATGGGTAGAATACACTGAAAGCATTTAACGAGGCATTTAAGGAGATAGATTATCTCTTACTCTATTAAACTCCATTTTCAGAGCATAAATAATTTGAACTTTCCCACACACATATGTGCATGCATATAGGGGCAGCTATATATATAGCACTACAGGGGTAAGCAGGTACTATGTCTGTCTATATACACACCCATATAGGTGTACATAAGTATACAAGTAATCCGAACAAGGATAATATCGTCACAATACCTGACAAGAGGGTTAAATAATGTATTACATAAAATTCCACAATTGTAGATTTTATTTAACCATGCATGGAATGTCACACCCACAATGTATGTATATACATGTAGTACAACTGGTCAGTTTGTTTGAACTGTGTCTACTGTGTGTGTACACACGTAGTAACTGAAGTGCTCAGACAGGCCCCCCAGGCATAGACCCTTTAACTGCAGGTCTTCATTCATTCCGCGGAATTTAACAGTCAGATAACATCATTACCACTTCATTACCAGGTACCTAACTCCTCATACCTTGATGACAGCGCTCGTTTGGGCTGTTAGCTAGCACCGACATAAAAGACTTAGACATCATGATGGATCATAGAACCTGCCACGGTCAAGATGATCTCTGTCATGACCAGTGTAACAATTATGACTGATGACCACATATCCTTTTAAATGGCAAAAACATTATCTTGATTTATAGCAAGTTGTCACAAAAATACCCTTGCCTACTGGTTGTAACGGGACCATTGAGCAGCGCTTTATTCCCAAAATAGAAAATAGTGATTCTAAATTCTCCTAAAAAGGAAAAAAGACTATTTTTGTTATTCCCAATTAGAGTTTTGGGAGAAAAAGAATTGAATTTTCAGAGCATTTCAAGATTCGTTATCTCTTATACCACAAACAAGTTTGAAATTCAAATAACAGGTTGAAACCAATTGTTATCGTTATGAAATATTGTAGTAAGAATTGTTTTCATTCAAACTTTTGAAAGAGTTGATACAAAGTTACATTCCAAAGTATCATTATGAAAACTTGGTAGGAAATGTCATTATTTCTATAAAGGTCTACTAACTCTGTCAGTGTAGGTTTGATCAGATTATTGAGTTGCTAGGTGGGGGTGGACAGTTGTAGATAATTCTTTTTACATTCCGATCGATAAAAGGGAGTAGGCTAGCTAGCTCTCAGCATTTAACCTCCAGACCTGTGGGACGATCAGCTTTCAAGTGAATTGTAGTTCAAGCAATGTATGCTGTAAAGATAAAATTATAATGAAGCGGCCCTACCTTTCCATTTTAGACAATTTCACCATTAATGGTATGGAGTTATTGGAGTGCTAAATGAGGTCTTCTATTACTTTTTTAAGTTCCTTGTCGTTTTGGAAATTTACCATTAAAATCCATAACAAAGTGCTAAATAAGGTCAACTTTTTTTTTTAAGTTCCTTGCCATTTTTGACATTCATCATGTGTATCCATTTTAAAGTTCTCAATCAGGCCTTGTTTGAAAAAGTTGCAGTGAAAAGTTCTTTATTGTTTTTCTTGGTTACCTACGATTAACAAACCTCATGTGAGTTGCAACTGGCTACAGGAATATGTGAAAATGTTGGCTCCAACTTAATTTAACTTTCCTACCAATTGGTTTTCTGGACAGTGACATCTTCATTAAAGAATGCAAGAAAGAAATTAGTTAACATTTTGTTAAGATAATATAATCATAACACCACCTATATTCTGGAAGTTCTGTTAATAAGTAAATATTCTCAGCAATTCTCCAGTGGATACAAAATGTATCCAGCAATAAGCCCATGCCCGGTAATAAGCCCATAAACGGCCAAGATAATATGTATAAATTATCCTACATTCTTGAAGTACTGTTCTCCAGTGACTATTCCCAACAATTCTCCAGCGGTTGCCATATTTATCCAGCAATAAGCCCATGCCCGGTAATAAGCCCATATCTAGTATACGCTAACAGCATTTTCTACAGATCCTTGCATTGACAATGCACCATATCAAAGGTATTAAACATGGTAGCGATGTACTTGTCATTTCTTTCAATACATGCACTGATTACAAAATTAAATAAGGAAAACATAAAGACACAGTTGTTCCTTTAATGAAATCGAAAACCTCACAAAAGTTTTGTTAGGCAATCACGGAAATGACTTATGTTATGAGTAAATATTTTATAGTACTTGTTTTAAAATGTTACCACTGATAAGTTTTACAGATATATGATTAAAACTGTTACTTCATGTCATAAAATGGAACCTTTATTTACAGTCAACACATTTAATACATTGCCCCTGTCAAACATTCGATAAATATATTACCACTGATAACTAAGCCCTGTTGATTAACGGTGTATACCAATACACACTGTGTAAACATCCTATTTTATACTGTGGTACAATTATTTGTACCCAACAGATTACATACAGACATGTCAATTGCAGTATTCCTTGACAATTTCATTTATCATAACATACCGGACCAAACCCACTTCACAACTCAAATAAATGCTTCAATTTAAATCTGCATTACAAAAGCAATCGTTTATGGTTTTTTTTCGAAATCTGCATTTAAAAAATAAAGTATGGTCTAAGTGGGAATGTGACAATTTAGCATTTTGAATGGGCAAGCTTGTTATTTACTTAAACTACAATTCAATACAGAAGGAAACAGAAGCAATAACACCTGTGACAGGTTGTAATAGCTAGCCGGAGCTAATCATACACATGTGTGCACACTTAAACAAAAAATCATATAGCATCTATGCACAATTCTTCAGTAAAATTCTGAAGTATGACAAACGAGTAGATAGTGAATAAAAGTCGACAACATCTCGAAGATAAATATTACAGGATGTATGACCCATCTGATGAAGGTGTGATACATAGTAAGTCATCAGAGGCATGAATCATGTTTGTTTATAAAATATATATACTTTGTACGGTGATTCATACACATACGCTTACATAGGGTTCGAGACTCGGATTAAACTGTTAAAATTCCTTTACATTTCATTGTTAAATTGTTGTCCAGCACAAATAAAATCGTCCAGTTAACAGGTCCCAAATAGTTCTAATAAACCCGCCGGTAGATCTACTGAAGTTCTGTCAATAGTTATTGATAAAATACATCGATCGATGATTTGACTGGTGACTAGAGTTCGGTTTTAAATAATTATACAGAATTGACACCGATTACGCCCATCTGTGAAACGGGATCTGCTACCCGCTGGTCTGATATGTTTGTCTGCGGAACCCGGGTAAACGGCATAAGGTTTGTATGGGACACCGGGCTATGTGACGCCTAGGAAGGACCAAGATGGCTTCTCCCTGAAACACCGGTCTGTCAACTTCCTAGCAAACTGGAAATTAGGCATAAGAAGACATCTTACTTACCTGAGCAAAGGCCTCAGTTGCCTCTTGTATTTGTTCATCAGAACAACAATTAGAAACCCGTTGTTGCTCCATCTTGATTTCTGTCGCTGCTCGCAGTCAGAATAAATGTGTGCTGTGACCTCGCGAGAGTTAGGGTGGGTCGAAGTCACGTGACTGATGTCGGAAGTAAAAGTTTAGTTCAGATTTGACAGGAAGTTTGTTGTAAATATGTCCTGATTAAATGTTAAATAATAAAGTAAAAAATGTTTCTTGTCCAACTTGTTATTTCTAAAGTTGTATATCCAGGTACTGGTCACATATCAGTCTGAACTAGATCACACCTGCGGCTACCTGAGTCAGTAGGCCAAGAATGACACTTTGCATTAGGTGGATGACCATATATGGCAAACGTACTTCTGTAGGTGGGTTTTAAAGAGCTGTTGACGTCTTGCGGTGAATACAGAATGAATTATCTCTCTTTTCTTATAGTTTCAGTTACTTTGTTTCCTTGTGCTGACAGACACATTGGAGAATAGACATTACAGACTGATACAGTGTTATATAGTATAATTGTAAATACAACGTGAACATACAGTACGATATATTACAATGTACAACATGATAGCACGATTTAGTGACATACATCACAACAGTATACATACTGTCCCTGATGCAATGTACTTTATAGGTTAGGATACAAAAGTATACAAATATATATATATCAAAATGCAATACACTGTAGTTGTATACTTTTAAACTGTTCAGCACAGTGAGGTTCAGTGAATTAATTAGCAGTAAAAACAATTACAAAGTTATCCACTATGATTATACAATTAAATGTATAACATTAATTCATGTTTTGTACTACACGGCGCTTTTTCGTTGTATGGTGTTTTTTCTGCATTCTCCATATATGTTTTAACACTAAAGGTAAAAATGCAGATATAGTTTTTCCCCAATTTTCAATACACTGAATACAATATCGTACCAAATACATGTTTAGTAACTTCAATGTACAACAAATTGGCGGTTACCGACACGAACCCGTTTCAATAAATTCTCTTTAAGGACATGTGGGTTAAAAGATTATGAAGCATTATTTCAACGTTTTTAACTAAAAATAACAAGGACTTTTCTAGTTGTTCAATTATTTAGTATTTTGAGTATCTAATAGCTAAATCAATTTGAAAACACTTGGTCGCTTGTTATAACAAGGGTAATTAATTTCATACGAGATTTATGAAACGAGTCAAGGAAGTTTTCAATTAAGCGAGTCTCTGGCGAGCTAAAATGAAAAATTCGTGACGAGTTTAATAAATCTCTCGTGAAACGGAAACTCATGTAAGATCCTTTATTTATCACATAATCAAGATTTGTGGCATTAATCGTGTAAAACGACAATATCCATGCAATCTTGAAATGTAAAAGACACCCTTTTGAGGTCAAGGACGTCATGTACTTGTCGTAGGCGTGACATCACAATTGAAACAATTGAAACTTACAACCAATAACGGGGGTGATAGGTCCTATTATATTTAAGCATTGAACTGCTTTCAGTTGTCGTTCATATTGCATATGAATGACAACTGAAATCAGTTCAATACTTGTATTTATCGATTGCACTTATTATTATTCAGCATTTAGTTCAACTAGTGTATGTATCATGTATGCTTGTCCAATGAATAATAATAATGACGTCAACAATCGGTCAATGGTATTCATTCATAGCCTATATGAATGCCAAATGAATTTGGTAGGGTTTTATATTGGTTAATACACACAAAAATATGACATGGGTATATTCACTGGATAACACAGTACATTATTTGATAAAGTTAAGTGTGAAATGAAATTCATCTTCAATATCATTTGTGTTTATATATAAGTTCTTTTATCTCTATGTAGGTTTCTATATCTGCCTTGGTCAATACATAAATCATGCTCGCTTAGTCTAAAACGTGCTATAGACTTTTTGTATAAAACATTATTAGTTTTCTTATAGGATTGCAAAGAAAAAAATCTAGAAGTTGTGATAGCGACTCACTGGTATTCATGTCAACTTTCGGATCAGCATATACTTCTATATATAGAGTGAATATTGTATTGAAAGAGAAACAAAACTGACGAAGGAAGACCATTTTTCTTCGGGCGCGTGCCCTCTCTCGGCCTCGAACGCACGATGTCCGGATCGTTTTCCCGAGCAATATCCGCATCTCTTAACACAACGGAAACCGTCATCGAGTAATGTTGACCGACTTTTGAGACTGCGTCGTATGATGCCCCTTTGCGTTTATTAACCCCATTCTCCGCCAAGCTCATTTATAGTGCAACTCCTGATGGAAAAGATATTAAAATGACAAATTTAACTGATCATTTCTTACCTGCCCTTGGTGTAAATACGAAAATGTCCAACTTTACCTCAGGACCTGAGTTATGACGAATTAAGATCCTTCATATGTAAATGTAACTCAATCATTACCCAAGTTTCATGAACTCTCTTTATCCGGGTATTCCGTGATTGAGTATTTTCGTTACAACATAAAAGTGCAACACAGGTACTGGTCACTTTTTTGATTACCATAGGTTGTTATAAAAAAATTATATGGTAAATAAATTATTATATATATAGCAATCAGTAGGGGAAGTATTTTGGGACCAGTACCTGTGTATTGTAGGAGCTATGAACAAAAGCTCAAATATATATACTTTATTTAATTTACCACAATTATGAAACAAGTTATACCAACTTATATCAATCACTCTTGTTGTATGATTCCGGATGTCAGCGGGGATAGAGCTAGGGTCTTAATATAGTACGCGGAAAAAGCCAACGTGAGCGGGTAGGTGACGGATACCTTTTCACGTCTAACCAGGGGATTGAACCCCAGCTGTCTTGGTGAAAGACGAGTACGCTATCTACTACGCCACCCGATCACCCAAACCATTAAACAATTGTCCACCAAGCTCAAACAAAGTGCAAATCCAGATGTTACTTATCCATGAGGAACTGACAATATAGAAAAATAAATGGGATTTCCTTAAGCAATTACGGGTCTGCTTTGCTGTGCTTATATTTATTGCACAATGGTATGGATTATCTTGACAAAATACTAAATATCCAAAATGACGCAGAATACCATGATATCAGGAGTTTGCAATCAGACAAATACTCCTGATGGCAAATTAGAAACGAATTTGAATCTCAAACCCGGCTTTAAATGAGGAAAATATTCCGCAGAACCCAACAACTTCAACATGAGGGCCGGAATTAGATTCGTTACAGTATATCGATGGAACTGAGATTAAACGTTTAACGAGATAAAGGCTTATTGACACACTCTACAGGTTTCATTAGTTATGAAATATATTACTGAGTGTCCCACTAAAGTTTGGTAAAAAGCAGAAAAAAACATTTCTTTCGTGTGCTTCAATTACTTTCATGATCTAAATAGACTCAATAAATTGTTCTAGATAATAAAAGATAACACCGCTCTGAAAATATCTAGTCGATTACACATCAGTATTAATTGATGAGTGACCTTGACACATCTAATACGCATTAGAGCTTAAGGATCCCTGACCCGCTGCAGACTAAACACTAGAGAATTCCACTTCAGTTTTTCACACACGCCATGATCTAACTTTAATATTTGTCTTGGACATAACTGAAGTGGAACAGGGTCAAGGGACAACATATACGAATAATCAGGTAGTTCAGTTGTTTGTATAGTGATGATCGGAGGTCCAGGGTTCGAATCCCGTTAACGACAATGCTTCATTTTTATTCTCAGAACACTGATGTTGATTTCTTCTTCTTCTTCTTCTTCTTCTTATCATTATTTTATCATAAAAGTCTTAAAAAATGTTAAAGCTGACGTCGTGATGGAAAAAATATCTTGTTACAGTTTTTGGCAGTGGTACGGGGATCTTTAATAGTTACAGGTTTTGGCAGTGGTACGGGATTCCTTAATTGTAATGTAATATCGAAGATTATAATAAGCAGAGTATTATACGAGAGGATCAGTCAAAAGTATCCGATAAAGGCATTATACGTCGCTCTAAATATTTCCGTGTAAGGCGGCCTGTATGTTATCGTGAATTGTCCCCTTATGAGCCCTTGACTATAAACAAAATATTTTGTATCTTATTATGATATCTTAAGTATGGCATGTCCTGCCATGGGTTCAGACACAATATTAAGTATGGCATGTCCTGCCATGGGTTTAGACACTATATAAAGTATGACATGTCCTGCCATGGGTTCAGACACAATATAAAGTATGGCATGTCCTGCCATGGGTTCAGACACAATATAAAGTATGGCATGTCCTGCCATAGGTTTAGACACTATATAAAGTATGACATGTCCTGCCATGTGTTTAGACACTATATAAAGTATGGCATGTCCTGCCATAAGTTTAGACACTATATAAAATATGACATATCCTGTCATGTGTTTAGACACTATACAAAGTATGGCATGTCCTGCCATGTCTTTAGACACTATATAAAGTATGGCATGTCCTGCCATGTGTTTAGACACTATACAAAGTATGGCATGTCCTGCCATGTGTTTAGACACTACACAAAGTATGGCATGTCCTGCCATTTGTTTAGACATTGTACAAAGTATGGCATGTCCTGCCATGTGTTTAGACATTGTACAAAGTATGGCATGTCCTGCCATTTGTTTAGACACTACACAAAGTATGACATGTCCTGCCATTTGTTTAGACATTTTAAAAAGTATGACGTATCCTGCAATGTGTTTAGACATTGTACAATGTTTGGCATGTCCTGCCATGAGTTTAGACACTAAATAACGTATGGCATGTCCTGTCATGTGTTTAGACACTACACAAAGTATGACGTATCCTGCCATGTGTTTAGACATTGTACAAAGTTTGGCATGTCCTGCCATGAGTTTAGACACTATATAAAATATGACATGTCCTGTCATGTGTTTAGACATTGTACACAGTTTGGCATGTCCTGCCATGTGTTTAGACACTATACAAAGTATGGCATGTCCTGCTATGAGTTTAGACACTATACAAAGTTTGGCATATCCTGCCATGAGTTTAGTCACTATACAAAGTATGGCATGTCCTGCCATGAGTTTAGACACTATATAACGTATGGCATGTCCTGTCATGTGTTTAGACACTACACAAAGTATGACGTATCCTGCCATGTGTTTAGATACTATACAAAGTATGGCATGTCCTGCCATGTGTTTAGACACTATACAAAGTATGACGTATCCTGCCATGTGTTTAGACATTGTACAAAGTTTGGCATGTCCTGCCATGTGTTTAGAAACTATACAAAGTATGGCATGTCCTGCTATGAGTTTAGACACTATACAAAGTTTGGCATATCCTGCCATGAGTTTAGACACTATACAAAGTATGGCATGTCCTGCCATATGTTTAGACATTGTACAAAGTATGGCATGTCCTGCCATGTGTTTAGACACTATACAAAGTATGGCATGTCCTGCCATGTGTTTAGACACTATACAAAGTATGGCATGTCCTGCCATGTGTTTAGACACTATACAAAGTATGGCATGTCCTGCCATGTGTTTAGACACTATACAAAGTATGGCATGTCCTGCCATGTGTTTAGACACTATACAAAGTATGGCATGTCCTGCCATGTGTTTAGACACTATACAAAGTATGGCATGTCCTGCCATGTGTTCAGACATTATACAAAGTATGACGTGTCCTGACATGTATTTAGACACTACACAAAGTATGGCGTGTCCTGCCATGTGTTTAGACATTTTAAAAAGTATGACGTATCCTGCCATGTGTTTAGACATTATACAAAGTTTGGCATGTCCTGCCATAAGTTTAGACACTATAGAAAGTAAGATTTGACCAGCAATGTGTCAAGACATCATACTAAATAATGCATGTCCTTCCGCGCGTTGACTTATCAGACAATGTAAAATTAAGACACGTCCAAGCAGGTGTAAAGACTAGAAATAAAACATTGCGTCACTGTGTTAAGATTCCGTATAGAAAGTAGGTCGTTTTCAGCAATGTGTAAAAGACACTGTAAACATTTCTACCATGCGTTGACTTATTAGACAAAGTAAAAATAAGACACGTGCAGCCTTATGCAAAGACACTATAACTATAAATAAGACATGTCCAGCCAAGTGTTGACTGACAAGGTATGGCTCATTACAGATAAAAATGAAAATTATACCTTGTTGAACATGTGTTGCATTATTAGGTTCTACAAAAGTATGTTCAACAATGTGTTGACTTATTAGACAACGTGAAACGTAGGATATGTCTAGCGATGTGTTTTCGTATCAAAAGACACTTTGAACAGTACGACAAGCCCGGTCCCGTGATGACATATTAAACACTAGAAAACTGAGATGTGCTCAACCATTTGTTGACTAAAAAACGAAGGAAATGATATTAAAAAAAAAGTTATAAATCGATAGTTTATGAAAGAGAGTGAGAGGTATAACGCCATGAAAGAGAGAATGGTGTATGGAAACCCTCCTACGAGAGGACACGATTTATCATCTTAATATTTAACAATATAATAATTGTATGCCTTTTAATAAAAAATAAAAAAAATAAAAATGGTATACAATTTACAATTTGACATTGAGATATAATATTCTTATACAATAACTAATTTTGCATTGTGAGATGTTTTACTTGTACAGTATATTATTTGGCCTGGTGATATGTTATAGTTATACATCATACACTTTTGAATTTTGAGATGTTATAGTTATACAGTATGCCATTTTGAATTGTGATCTCATTAAATTTGGCATTTTGATACATGATACTTGAACAGTACACAATTTGGCTTTGTGATATATATGTTATAGTTATCCAGTATACAATTTTGCATTGTAATAATTATAGGTTCATGTATATGTAGCATAAAAATTGGAATTGTGATACATCATAGTTACAGTACACAATTTGGTATTGTCATATGTTATACCTGTACTGTACAAGTTTACAATTTGACATATAAATAGAGGAAAACAATAAAATAATTTTTACTTTGAAAAATAAATAAAAAATAAATTGTATAATTAGAAAAGAAAAAAAAAAGAAAAAAACTCGAAAGAAATTAGTTTATATAAATGATAAAATATATATTATAAAGTTTTCCTGAGAATATAAAATATATATTTGGTTCTTCTCCAGTGATGTGAGTCAAAATTCACTGAATTTATCGTAGCATTTTTTTTTTTGTTAACTTCCGGTTTTATTCTTAAAGACTAAGTATTACACAGAATGTCCGAACTCCCGCTCACGGACATGACATCTTAGAATTTTGAAAACTTAAACATCATTTCCGGTTTGCATTATTGGAAATTCGTCGCATCATTTAAGTACATGTTGCTGATAATTATAACATTTTACGAGTAGAACTTCCGGTCGATGACCACGCATGGCCTGTACTATTGTTGACAGTAACCGCACTTCAAACGAGTTAGACAAATCACGAGCAAGACTCACCCGGACTTCCTCATATTAGTCAAGTGAGGAACTTACGTCGGGATCGAGGAAAGAATAGGACTGTTGTATCCTATCGCTTGTTTATCGTGAGAGTCCATCAATGTTTAGTGGGCCCTGTAGAATCAGGGATTTTTTGTCTGTGTCGTCTGCTTAGGGTACACTGGGAAAACCAAAATGTCCTGCTGTCCCCAAAGCAACACTTTGGATCTGTATCTTTCTTACTTACCTTCCCTTTTTGGCGGTGTCTCCATTAACATCCGTTTTTCATATGACCTTGGCTGTTGCGAGGATGTTTTACCCCATAGATATTAAGAAACTAAATATTCATCAGTTTTAGTTTCTAACGAAATAAATAAAATACTTTTCTGTGTGTTAACGACACATCGGATATTACTACCAGGAAGGCGGTGATCACACGAAGTGGGCCTCTGTTGCAGGTGATTTTTTTTTATATTTTCCTTACTTCAGAGGCTTGTATGTTCTTTGGTCTCTTTTGATCAATTCCTCACATTTTGAGCAATGGCTTATAAACCACAGAGAACATTCATATATGGGTTAATATTTCTCATAGACTTGCAAACACGCCGCCTGGAATCGTCGAAAACTCACGAGTGATACTTATCACGTGTCTGATTAATGATTGTAGTGTTTTTTTCGAACAAATTTCACTACCTATATCTAATTGATATGTATATGCATTACATACATTTGTCGTATTTTCGAACTCGTTGTAAATTACGAGAAATATGCTGACATAATTTCATAGCATTGTACGGAGACTTGCAATTGGCATGATGCCGTACAGTAATCTAAAAACAAATTTTCAAGTTGCCGTACAGTTCGACGAAATATTTTTGACGATATTTCATTTTATACAATACACTGACACAGTAAAACATGTGGTGGGAAGTGCTACAAATGATAATTCAGACACCTGATAGTTTTCTCTCGTAATTTTTCACCGGTACCAGACGTGTTTGTAAGGCTGGAAGAAATATTGACCAATATATGAACGTTTTCTATGGTTTGAGTAAACGCTGAAAATGTGAGGTATTAATCCAAAAAGCCTCAAGCACACATTGACATGACAACCTCTGAAGTAAGAAAAATATAGAAAAAAACTTACCTTCAACTGCAGTCCACCTCGTGTGGTCACCGCCCGCCTAATAGCAATATCCGGTGTCGTTAACACACAGTGGTTATGTAGAATGTGATAAAACACATTTTATAAGAATATTTTACATTTAAGATTTTTTATATAGTACTAGTATAGTCAAGCATATTCTATTTGATAACTAAATTTTAACATATCTTTTAAGCAAAAGTATAGGGAGACGATAGTTATCTTTAATATAGTAACTAACCACATAGTCATGCAAATGGTCAGATGATGTAATAGAGTAACGTATTACAGGAGTGGGAGAACCGACCTTGATAAGGCTAGTTAGACCTTCTCCATGTCATGTTATACACCTCTCTTTATATCAATGTTTCGGTACTGTATTTGGGTCTTCGGTCCGAGTCTATATATTTGCTTCTTCTCCTCCGTTTTATGTTCCTCCTTTTCTCCATATGTCACTTTTTGACCCCCTCTTCTCCATATCTCGCTATATTACCTCTCCTCCCCATATCTCGCTATTCCTAAACTCGCCTCCTTCTCTCCCCTTTTTACCCTTTCTGAAATTCGCTAATTCTTTCTTTGTGTCTGCCTCGACCCCATACAACTCTTCTTTCTTCAATGGCTGGAGACTGTTGTTAATGTTGGAACTCATTCGACTCACCAAATTGCTCTGGGCGTTGCACCAGATTAATAATTGGAGTACAGACAACCTTTGTTTGGTGGGGTTTCAATTCTCTCAGTCATTATTGTAAGTGTTTCAACAAGTATATATGGCCGTGGATCTAACGTATAACCATGTTCTAGTTCGGGGTTTAGAATCCCAACTCTTCCCGATAGGTTGCTCATTCTCGCAAGACCGTGAACTGTCTTTGTATATTACTATTTTTCCATTGCTAGCTAATGAAGAATGCGCGTCGGCTTGCCAAGTCTAACACATTTTTTCGTTCTTTCTTCTCCCTATTTAGGTGGTGGTTGTGGTGGTGGGAGGGGCGTGTGGCCGCCGGTACTTTCGCTCAGTTTCGCTCAGATGACATCGTTGTAAGCTAACTAGTAGCTTGTGGTGATGTATGATATTCTTTTCTTTCAATGATACTGTACACACGTGCACTAATTTGACTTCTGGTTGCTATATAGCTACTTACAGCCACAGGTTCATTTTTTTATCTGGTTGGGTAAAGTCTTTCCCATCTGTCGTCGCTCCAAGTTGCCACTGTCTTTTCTATTAGTCACCATAATCCGAGATTGTTGACAACTGCATTTTTATAAGGATTACGGTTACTTTGAACCCACTTAATTTATGCAATACGGTAATAATATAGACTGCATGTAGTAGCAATTTCAATGGGACAGAAAAACAACCTGCATGGTGCTTTATAACTAAATAAATTGAAAACAACATTTCCTTACTTTTACAGTTATTATTTTTACTACGTTGTGGTGTATTTGTAATAGTTTAATTACTGTTTTTATTTTGTGGATTTGTGTGTCTTTCAAACTTTGCAGTTGTTTACAAAGATATCTAAACACTTTCTATCTTGTTAGTAAAACTCTTTCCTCTTGAGGAATAATATTTCTAGTGGTTAAAGGGGAACAACTCTGACACTAAAGTTCTTTTATGCGGTCTAGACAATCAGCAAATGTTATTATGAATTATTTTACAGATATTCCAAAACATTATTTTTTTTTCTCTCTAAAATATGATAATACACACTACTTTAACAACAGCCATATGTAAGGTAATCCGGAAAAAATAATCACAGTTATTTTGGCCCTAACTTAGGCGTACCTGAAAATGAAGGGTCTCTGAAACGTTTAGATTGGTCGCTTTCTAACACAAAGGATACAATCGACTTTGAGGAAGTTTAAATAGTCTGCGTGTTTGTGATTTGGTTCAGATGTTGAAATGGAAGGTAAGCCATCAGTGACAACTTTAGTTTTCTGTGAAGCTTAGACATATATTTTGTCTGTAGTGCAGGGAAGACCATATCATATATTTATAAACCAGATGCAGATTTCTGTGGTTCCGACTTTCGTAATCTTCGATACATTGACGGAGTAAGGAATAAACAAGTACTAATATTAATACCCGGCCTCCTCTGCCCCGGCAAAAATTCTGATCGGTCGCCTGTTTATTGTCAGCTAAAGCCTATCGACTGCTCTTTAAAACGCTGACCATAAACAGGCGACCGATCAGAATATTTGAGCCTGCGATTATGGTCAGTTTTAGCGGACTACTATTTATACTCAACAGGTTCAGTACACTCTGCCGATTGACCTATATAGCTGTAAAGACCTAAAATAGCTCTATTGACCTATCTGAAATAGATCTTTAGAGCTATTTTCATGTGATTTTCTTTTTTAAGGAAAACGAAAAAAAATCGCTTTTAAAATAAGATTTTATCATTAGGTTGATAACAAAAGACATCAAATATAAGTATTCTTTTAAAAAAATAATAATGTAAAAAATCGAAAATTTTACATTTATGAAAAATGAAAATAAACATCTAACTGTATGCTTTTTGTAGTCAACATTACCATCAACCTTATCGTTTAATGCGACTTTGCTTTAATTTAATGAGATTTGAAATCTGAGAAAATATAGCTCAATACAGCTTTAATTTACAGGTGAATATAGCTATATAGGTCTTTATAGTTATATAGCTCAATCGACAGAGTGTACTCGACCTGCTCTAAGCACCCAAGACTGCAGAACATCATGAGTAGAGTAAGTTACAAAATGTTAAAAGTAGTCTAGATAACAAAATTGACCTAAAACGACCCGATTTATTTGTTAGCAATAGTGTGATTATTGCTGCCAAAGATTTGATAATCTTTGATTCATATTTTGAATTTGTATTGATCCATTCCATCTTTATTAAAGTTTATAAACAAGAGCTAAGGGATGTGACCAGGGAATTAGCTCAGATCGAAGAGGAGATTGAGAACCTCTTAAACCGACAGTCATCACTACTTCATAGGAAAGATGAGATTAACTCCATACTTCAACAAAACACCATCACCCAACAGGCTGACACCAAATGGGATTCTACAGGTAAATTCCTAATCCAGCTACAGGTACAATACAGAGACTATAGTCAGTCATGCATGCAATGTGTCCCTTTTTCTAAGGGGTTATCCCTATGTTTTTCCTTTAAAACTTGAATCCCCTCTGAAGAATAAGAATTTCCTCATATTTGAATGTGATAATGGAAATTCTTAAATTGTTAAAAATGTGTCTACATTTAACTCCACTAAGTGAGTGCATTTTGCATAGAGATTATTTGGAAGTATCATAATTATAAGACCTAATACAAATTTATGAATATTGTTTGATATTTACAGTTTCAAGTGTAATTGACTCCATAACCTTTGTTGAGGTCATTGTCATTCTCGTGTAGTTATACCTCAATTTTCCAATTTAACCTAGTTCTATTGTAATTGGAAGTCATTGATGTCAATGTCTTTTTGCTGTAAATTTTACAGACTTTTCATGGAACAAGGAACTGCAGGAAAAGATGAAAAGTATCTTCAAAATCACATGCTTGCGTCCTATGCAGCTGCATACAATGAATGTGACTATGTCTGGAAAGGATGCAATGCTGATTATGCCGACTGGTGGTGGCAAGAGTCTGTGTTTCCAGTTACCTGCCCTTTTATCCAAAGGTGATTACAAAAGAAGACTTGAGTCATTGTTTTTAAGCTATGTGCTTAAATCCTTAAATAATCTGCATTCTTAAACAAAAATGTATGATAATTGATTATTATGAAATGTAGACATCATGATAACAACACACAGCTTTATGTAATAGTAAAACATTTAGAACATTGACAATGAGGCTGTATTACCAGATTTTTCTTATATCTCATTATGTAGCCTATTTCTACAGGTTTGTGCATCTGGTAATATCTCACATACCTGGTAGGTAAATTACCTCAGCTGTCAGTAGGATGCTATTAGCAGCTAAACCCAATAAATTGAAACCAAGTCAAATTGCCTTATTGGCAAGATCTTTTGTCTAGTTTTGGCCTTCTGACACTAGTTGTCTCCCTTTTGCTTCTGTGTAGAAATTTGGGATTTTGTCTTTTTTGTGCAGGGCCTGTTTTAAGCAGAACAATCAGTTAATATTTCGCGGTGAATGGTCTTATGGTCCTGTAAATATTAATGTAGACAGCTTAAGTCTTTGCGAAAGCTTGCCATAATTTTTTTATCAGACCACTAGGTCTATTCTTTTTCATAAATAAATTTGTTTCAATGTTTTAAATTGTTGGAACACAGTAAATGGAAGCAACAGCCAGCACTGTTTTGACATTATTCCTTTGTACATATTTTGTCGCTGTAGGTGTGACACTAGTTGTCTCCCCTTTGGTGTCGCTGATGGAGGACCAGGTGATGGCACTAGAAGCTCTAGGTGTAGATGCCAGTATGTTAAATGCCTCTGTAGATAAAAGCAAAGCAACAGCGATACAGAATTCAATGGTGGACAAAAATGCCTCGCTCAAGTTACTGTATGTCACTCCAGAAAAACTTGCTAAGAGTAAGCGCTTCATGAACAAACTTGAGAAGATGTATCAGATGGGTCGTTTCTCTCGACTTGTCATAGATGAAGTTCATTGTTGTTCGCAGTGGGGACATGATTTTCGACCAGGTAAGTTGACACTGACACAAATAGAAAGAAAGATTACATTAATTGTATCAATTTTAAGATGTAATTTTCTCAAAATTATACATATAATATGTTGTATACAGGTACCGGAAATAGATGAATATTTACAATACGAACACATTAATATTGGAACATGCAAGTAGGCACCCATCCAGCCACTGACCTTGCCCTGACATACTTGCCAAACTTTGAAATTTCCATTGGGGGAGATTACTCCTGCTCAGAATTAAAAGCATGAATAACATCACCTCTGAAATCATCAGATTTAAGAAAATAAGAATAGTTAAGCAAATCCACTGGTTGAAAATGCTCAATTTTAAGTTCGGGAGTCTACCTTCCAAACAGGGAGAGTTGGCAAGTACATGTGTATGCTCAGTGTTGCTTGAATATTGAACAAGTTATACCTCATCGCTGGAAAAGCTAGCTTGCCAGTAAGGCAGTATTTTACACGAAAAATCCTTGGCTGTAAAACTAATTTTCCAAACAAGAAGTGCTGTCCTAAGACTTATCCTTCGGAATCTCTTTGGTTCACACTGTGTTCCAATGCACCTTCCTGAACCACAGGAAACTGGCCTCACATGGTACCCCAGGGTCATGTCACTGCCATCAAATATAAGATGCAAGCTGGCACCCTTCCAGCCATTGAACCCCCTCATTTTTATATAACTATTTATTCAGTCCCTAGAGTTGAACTGCATTGCTGGAAAACCTAGCTTGCCAGTAAGGCAGTATTTTCCCTCTCATATTCCTTAATTAGCTGCTATATTTGATTCTATACACCTCTTGGATATTTGAAAGTTTTTAACCAGCATAAATTTATTTTCGATTTTCAATGTTTAACTTACCTGGTCCAAAGTGACTTCCGTCTGTCAACAATTTCTTCAAACAACTTCTTCTAAACCGCTGAGAGGAATTAGACCAAATTTGATTGGAAGTATCCATAGTTTTGATTTGTTAACATGCTAAAATAGGAATACTCAAAATATTATTTAGTATTGTTATTTAATTATTAACCCTGCTGATCACAGTACAAAACCACTGATGATTTGTTGTAACAGACTACAAGTTTCTGGGAATCATGAAAAGACAGTTTCCGGAGGTTCCTATCCTTGGTCTCACAGCCACTGCCACAACCAAAGTTCTGGAGGACGTAAAGAAAATACTCAGCATTCCTCACTGCCTTGTGTTCAAAGCCTCCTTCAACAGACCCAACCTGTATTATGAGGTAAACAACAGGACCTTAGCTTAATATCAAAGTTTTAATTAATACACAAACAATATATGTATTAAACATGTTGCAATGTTTTAAGACTCACTGGTCCCTTTGTCAAGCTATGACTGAGTGAGTGATGAGTGACACATTTAATATGAACATGTACATTGTTTGTGTGTAAAGTCAAACGTTAATATTACATATTTGCGAACTGATGAATCTTATTGAAGATAGACCCTTAGCTTCTTCATTTTGTTTCAATTACTCATACTATATTTTCCCCTTTGTATTGTAAAAGAGGAAACATCCTAAGTTTTGTTTTGGAATCCAACTGTTTAATATATGACCTTGCTGTGTGTAGGGGGACCGGGGACCTCCTTTTGATTTATTTGATGATAAATAAATAAAAAAGGAATTTAAAATATGTGTATAACAAGTGAAGCTGACATTGTTCTTGAATAGATCCGGCCAAAACCCTCAGGAAGTAAAGACGCTATGGATGAGATCCAAAAACTAATCAAGAAGAAATTTGACGGCATGTCAGGTGAGAAATCTCTTTTTCATGAATACGTTACAATGGTGTTTCATTTTAAAGTTACAAGAACTTGCATTGTATATATACATGTATAAAGATCCCCATACCACTGCCAAACACTGTAAATATGCATTGGAAACACTTTTATGGCATGGCTATAGCTTTGATAAGTCATTTCTCATATGACAATTAACTATACCTTTTGGAACATGAAATGAAAATAATCAACAACTGTGTAAAAATGTAACAGGGACCAAAACAGGATTTGAACCCTGAATCCTGCCCCTCCCCTGCCATCATTATACTAGTGCTTAGTACAACCCTCCCACAGTCGCGCTACTTATATTAAGGGTAGGTAACTCTATGTATGAAATACTACTGTGGAATTCTCTAGTTTTCTGCCTACTGTGGGAGAGGGATCCTTAAGGGTTGATGTGGTCAATATGGGGTCCTTAAGGGTTGATGTGGTCAATGTGGGGGGCCTTAAGGGTTGGTGTGGTCAATGTGGGGGGCCTTAAGGTTTGATGTGGTCATTGTGGGGTCCTTAAGGGTTTACGTGGTCAATGTGGGGGTCATTAAGGGTTGATGTGGGTAATGTGGGGTCTTTAAGGGTTGACATGGTCAAGGTGGGGTCCTTAAGGTTTGATGTGGTCATTGTGGGGTCCTTAAGGTTTATGTGGTCAATGTGGGGGTCATTAAGGGTTGATGTGGTCAATGTTGGGTCCTTAAGGGTTGACGGGGTCAAGGGGGGGCCCTTAAGGTTGATGTGGGCAATGTGGGGTCCTTAAAGGTTGATGTGGTCAATATGTGGTCCTTAAGGGTTGATATGGGCAATGTGGGGGTCCTTATGGGTTGATGTGGTCAGTGTGGGGTCCTTAAGGGCTGACATGGTCAATGTGGGGTCCATAAGGGTTGACGTGGTCAATGAGGGGTCTTTAAGGGTTGACGTGGTCAAGGTGGGGTCCTTGAGGTTGATGTGGTCAATGAGGGGTCCTTAAGGTTGACATGGTCAATGTGGGGGCCTTAAGGTTGATGGGGTCATTGTGGGGTCCTTAAGGGCTGACATGGTCAATGTGGGGTTCTTTATGGTTGATGCGGTCAATGTGGGGTCCTCAAGGTTGATGTGGTCAATATGTGGTCCTTAAGGGTTGATATGGGCAATGTGGGGGTCCTTATGGGTTGATGTGGTCAGTGTGGGGTCCTTAAGGGGTGACGTGGTCAATGTGGGGTCCATAAGGGTTGACGTGGTCAATGAGGGGTCCTTAAGGGTTGATCTGGTCAATGTGGGGTCCATAAGGGTTGACGTGGTCAAGGTGGGGTCTTTAAGGTTGATGTGGTCCATGTGGGGTACTTAAGGTTGTTGTGGTCAATGTGGGGGCCTTAAGGGTTGACATGGTCAAGGTGGGGTCCTTGAGGTTGATGTGGTCAATATGTGGTCCTTAAGGGTTGATATGGTCAATGTGGGGTCTTTAAGGTTGATGTGGTCAGTGTGGGGTCCTTAAGGTTCATGTGGTCAATGTGGGGTTCATTAGGGTTGGCGTGGTTAATGTGGGGTCCTTAGGGGTTGCCATGGTCAATGTGGGGGCCTTAAGGGATGACGTGGTCAATGTGGGGGCCTTTAGGGTGTTGTGGTCAATGTGGGGTACTTAAGGTTGTTGTGGTCAATGTGGGGGTCATTAAGGGTTGATGTGGGTAATGTGGGGTCTTTAAGGTTGATGTGGTCAATCTGGAGCTCTTAAAGTTATACATGGTTAATGTGGGTTCCTTAAGGATTGATGTGATCAATGTGGGGTCCTTAGGGGTTGCCATGGTCAATGTGGGGGCCTTAAGGGTTGGTGTGGTCAATGTGGGGGCCCTTAAGGGTTGACGTGGTCAAGGTGGGGTCTTTAAGGTTGATGTGGTCACTGTGGGGTCCTTAAGGTCGATGTGGTCAATGTGGGTATCCTTAAGGGTTGTTGTGGTCAATGTGGGGTTCTTTATGGTTGATGCGGTCAATGTGGGGTCCTCAAGGTTGATGTGGTCAATATGGGGTTCTTAAGCGGTGATGTGGTCAATTTGGGGCCCTTAAGGGTTGACGTGGTCAAGGGGGGGTCCTTAAGGTTGATGGGGACAATGTGGGCTCCTTAAGGGTTGACGTGGGCAATGTGGGGTTCTTAAGGGTTGACGTGGTCAATGTCGGGACCTTAAGGGTTGACGTGGTCAATGTCGGGACCTTAAGGGTTGACGTGGTCAATGAGGGGTCTTTAAGGGTTGACATGGTCAATGTGGGGTTCTTAAGGGTTGACGTGGGCAATGTGGGGTTCTTAAGGGTTGATGTGGGCAATGTGGGGGTCCTTATGGGTTGATGTGGTCAATGAGGGGTCTTTAAGGGTTGACGTGGTCAATGAGGGGTCTTTAAGGGTTGACGTGGTCAAGGTGGGGTCCTTGAGGTTGATGTGGTCAATGCGGGGGTCTTACAGGGTTGATGTGGTCAAGGTGGGGGTCCTTAAGGGTCGATGTGGTTAATGTGGGGGTCTTAAAGGGTTGATGTGGTCAATATGTGGTCCTTAAGGGTTGATGAGGTCAATGTGGGGGCCCTTAAGGGTTGATATGGGCAATGTGGGGGTCATTAAGGGTTGATGTGGGCAATGTGGGGGTCATTAAGGGTTGATGTGGGCAATATGGGGTCCTTAAGGTTTGATGTGGTTAATGTGGGGTCCTCCTTAAGGGTTGATGTGCTCAATGTGGGGTCCTTAGGGGTTGCCATGGTCAATGTGGGGGCCTTAAGGGATGACGTGGTCAATGTGGGGGTTCTTAAGGGTTGATGGGGGCAATGGGGGGGTCCTTAAGGGTTTATGTGGTCAATGTGGGTATCCTTAAGGGTTGATGTGGTCAATGTGGGGGTTCTTAAGGGTTGATGTGGTTAATGTGGGGTCCTTAAGGGTTGACATGGTCAATGTGGGGTCCTTAAGGGTTGACATGGTCAATGTGGGGTCTTTAAGGTTGATGTGGTCAATGTGGGGGTTCTTAAGGGTTGATGTGGTTAATGTGGGCTCCTTAAGGGTTGACATGGTCAATGTGGGGGTCCTTAAGGGTTGATGTGGTCGATGTGGGGTCCTTAAGGGTTGACGGGGGCAATGTGGGGTCCTTAAGGGTTGATGTGGTCAATGTGGGGGTTTTTAAGGGTTGATGTGGTTAATGTGGGGGTTCTTAAGGGTTGATGTGGGTAATGTGGGGTCTTTAAGGGTTGACGTGGTCAATGTGGGGGTCCTTAAGGATTGATGTGGTCAATGTGGGGTCCTTAAGGTTGATGTGGTCAATGTGGGGTCCTTAAGGTTGATGTGGTCAATGTGGGGTCCTTACGGGTGAAATATAGCGTTATATGGATGTGTACATGTTTTTTGGCAAAACCTATTTCGGAATTTATTATAATTAAAGAATAGATTGAAATACATAACAGTGTTCTTAATATTTTTGAATGGTATATGAATTGCAGGTTCTAGAAAGACTCCGCTTGTTTATAAAGCTTTTTGTTACAGTTTTATGTTGGTTTGGAAATGAGTTCATTACCACTGATGTTCAAAATTTATATTTGTTTTCTAAAGGATTTATGATTCCTCTGCTTTAAATGTTTCTGTTTACTGTTTTGTCGTACAGGTATTATATACTGTTTCTCAAGAAAAGAGGCAGGAGATGTTGCTATAGCACTACAGGAGCGAGGAATAAAGACGGGTAGCTACCATTCAGACATGAGTGCTCTCCAGCGCAGCAAAGTACATAAAATGTGGCTTTCTAACAAAATACAGGTAGGTCAGTTTATAAATCACAATGATTTATTTATAGGAAAATGAACCTTCATAAAGCATTAAGGTAACGTTATAAAAAAAAATCTCTATTCGAAATGAAGTATTGGTTGTTTTCAATTAAGCAAGATATTCCAAATAGAAACTTTAGGGATTGCTGTACCAATGCCAAAAATGATAGTATACATTGGAAACTGTTTTGATTAATAATTTCCAGAAAGAAAAATATACCTTGTTTGACTCAAAAAAATAATGGAGATGTAATTAAAACAAAATATCATCTGCAACAGTGTTTTAAGTGTAAAAATACAATGAGGCCAGACATAGATTCGAACCCTGTACCTCAGACTATTATACCATTGCTCTAGCCAATTGAGCTACAGGTCAACAGAAGTGCAGTTAGATCCAAAACGAAAGGGAAGGGAGGTTACAGTACATGTATATACAAAATATATATACCATAGTGGAATTCCCTAGTGTTTAGCTTGCAGTGGGACAGTGATCCTTAAAACTAAGAAGTCAGCTTTTGTGTGGGCTTATCAACATAATTTAGAAAGAGTGTTAAGCCCAGGACACCGATGTACAGGCCCCTTTTGGCTGTTGTTTTAGGTTGTGGTGGCCACAGTGGCCTTTGGGATGGGGATAGACAAACCAGACGTGAGGTTTGTGATCCACCACTCGCTTAGTAAATCCATGGAGAATCTGTACCAGGAGAGCGGACGCGCGGGGCGTGATGACAAAGTCGCCCACTGCATCATCTTCTACAGGTTTGCAGATGTCTTTAGACAGAGCACCATGGTCTTCACAGAGCAGACCGGACTAGACAACCTGTATGGCATAGTGTCTTACTGTACAGACATATCACGGTAAGTCTCTTATGTATTCTATAGATAGTGTCTTATTCTATAGACACATCAAACTAAATGTCTTTATCTACTGACAGATATCTCATTCTGTAATTATCTTTGTGTACAGCCAAATTTCTGTGTCTTTCTGTACATACGACATACCGGGTATATACTGATAAAGTCACGCTTGACATCAAGGCTGAGCACCTTCTTAAATTCGTTACTCATTTCTACGCAATTAAATCGTTTTCAGCCATTACATATATGTATCGGGTAAGATTTCATATCAATGATGCACTCAATGAATACCTTAGTGATATAGCAAAGGTGTACCAAAACTACCACTAACTTCACCATTGCTTCATCTGAAACTTAAAATCTACAGCTTTGAATGCAAAGACTAGAAAGTTAAATTTTAATTGGTCAATACCAAAATTTATATCTTCACTTATGATGAACTCTTTGTTTCAGTGAAGAGATAAGTTTTTATTTGCTCATCTGGTCCGAAGGACCATGGTGAGCTTATGTCATACCAAAGAGTCTGTCGTCCGTTGTCTGTCCATCAACTTTTCCTTTAAAATGCTACTAGTCCTGAACGGCTAAGTAGATTTTGACTAACTTAGGCCAAGGAGACTCAATTTTATATAAACCTTGGGTGTGGCCCCCTTGGGGGCAGAGGGGTGGGGCCAAATAGGGGAAATAGAAGTAAAACCTATAAAATCTTCTTCTACCATAGAGATTAAAGTATTTTATCCTAAATTAGTCTAGAGCAGCCTTGCATTTTGGTCTTGGTGTGACCCCCCTTTGGGGCAGAGGGGCGGTGACCAATAGGGGAAACATAGCAAATTCTTAGAAATCCTTGTCCTTCTGTAGGAATGACAGGATTTTGTCCTAATTTGCTATGATAATGAGGTATCCTTGGGTGAAGGGGAACCAATTTTGTATAAACAGTGTGTCTGACCCCGCTGGGGGCAGAGAGGCAGGGCCAAATAAGGGATATAGAGGAATAGCTTCAATATCCTTTTTTCTTTTGTTAGGATGAAGTTATTTTGACCAAATTTGAAGAGTAGCATCCTTTTGGGAAGGGAAATTAATTTTGTGTTAATGGTGTGTCTGACCGCCCTGGGTCCTGAGAGGTGAGAGATTTTGTCCATATTTGGTCTAAAGCATCATTGGGTAAAGGCGACCTGATTTTGTATCAAAGGTTGGTCTGAACCCCCTCGGGGCAGAGAGGTGGGGCCCAATAGGGGAAACATAGCAAATTCTTCAAATCCTTCTTTTCCTGTAGGAATGACAGGATCTTGTCCAATTGCATATAAATATAATCCCGACTAACTATGTAATACATGTACACTGCCAGCAACATCTAGCTATTCAAACTTCAATTTTACTAACATTTCCAGGTGAGCGATACAGGCCCTCTGGGCCTCTTATTCAATTGAAAATTTTCATTTTTTCACTGATAAAATTTCAATAAGGTTTTATATAAATTTGGACATCTGTAAGCATCTTTCTGTGGAGGCGTATCTCTGAGGCTGTTACTGTCTCAGTGAACATATATATCATATTAAATGTCTTACTGTAAAAATAAAGCTGTTACTATCTTAGTGAACAGATAATCAGTTTAAATGTCTTACTTTAAAGACGTATCTGTAAATGTCTTGGTGAACAGATATATCATTGTAAATGTCTTACTGTAAAGACATATATTTAAGAATCCTCCTGTACAAATATGTATGAGCAAATGCCTTAATGTCTTTAAGGAACATTCACACGAGGTATCCAATAGAACATGTTTGACATGTGGCTGAACTTTTGGTCTATTAGGTTAAGTTATACTGCATTGTTTATTTCTGTTTCAGCTGCAGAAGGAGCATCATAGCCCGACACTTTGGGGAGGTCTGGGACAGGTCACAGTGCAATAACATGTGTGACCATTGTGACCACACATATGGCGGTCAGTATTACATTATTGAATAAAACATGCTGAATACCTGCATCATTTATAGATTTGCCATGTTCCATAATTAGGTCACTGTGATCATCAAAGGTCAAAAGTCTAAAAAAGTGCTAACTTTCATCTCATGGACCAAACAACTTTTTAAAAAGAAAGGTATTCATACAGTGCAATCTACTCATAATGATATTATACAATGTATATCATCTGAATCAAATAATGAATTGTGTATTTTTATATTTTTTGAAAGCTATTAACCCTTTTCCAATTACCCTGGTACTGTAAAACCTGGATATAATGCTTCTCGTTCCATCTGCCACCTGGCTCACCACCAACATAATTCAAAATTCCATTTCTCTTTTTCTTAAGAATTCTTCGTTTTATTGCCAAACCCTTTTATAACACCTTAATTTCTCTGGAAAAAATGGTGGCAGTATAACAAAGTTTTACTGTAGTTTAATCTTTTGTAAACAATTGATCAATGTAATTCAATGTTTGATTTCAATATTTGGTATATTACACAGTAACTCCAGAGAAAAGAGACGTTACCAAGATCTGTCAGAACGTTCTTACCCTACTGGATCATGCAGCCCAGACACAGCAAAGAGTGACGGCAGCCAAACTGCTGGACGCCTGGGAGAAGAAGGGCCCTACCTCCTTAAGGGTGAGGAATGTCCCTGAACCCAACATCTCGAGGGACAAACTGGAGAGGATCCTGGCTCACATGTTACTTAATAGCTACGTTAAGGAGGACTACCACTTTACTGCTTACTCAACCATCAGTTACATTGTTGCGGGTAATTCTCAATAACCTAATATTGTTTGTAACACATTTTCATTGGTTTGTGTTTACAGTCTATCAAGTGATAGACTGAAAAAAAAAAGAGTGCATGATTTTATGACGTCATACACAAAGTACTTCTTATCCCCCAAAATAGTGCACATCCGTCACACTTGAATAGTTGTCAGTAACAACGCCTTTCCACAAATGCGTGGACATAGAAATAATCCTGATGGCTAGCGAATACATGGCCTTATTAGCATTGGATTGATAACATGATAATCATTACCTCATTCATAAAAAATATCAATTTGATTGTAACTGAAAATTCAACATATTTTGTGCAATAAAAGTTTTCTTTTCTGATTTCGAATTAAATTATAACAATTGGACAAAACAGTATTTTTTCTATTGATGTATAGGTCGATATATTATCGAGTCCAATCCTTATATACCTAAAAGGTACAGGATTAGGGGATATAGCAAGTTACTGGTTCGCTGATACCAGGCCTATTTCCCATAGTTTCACCACTGGAAATAGACCTGATCTCAGCGAACCAGTAAATTGCTATATCCCTCAAGCCCATACTTTAGCTGTATATTACCATAGAGACATGTTTCTTAACTTTTATTGACATATAACAGGAAGCATAATAATCTTGTTTCTCTTCTGTTATGTACATCAAGTATATACAAGTTAAAGTTGCTGTACATTCACTGTACTGTCTCGTGGTACCACACAATGATATGCACACATGTTTAAATTCAACATTGATACACTGACATCCATTTTGAAATTAGAAGACAAATAGAGAAGAAGTTGGATTACCAGATCTTTTCCTATTTCAGGCCCAAAGAGCAGATTACTGGAAAGTGGGAGTGTCAAAATTGGCATGGAATTCCCAGGAAAGAAGAAAGTCGCCGTCAATGGGGATTGTTCAGACTCAAAATCATCGAGTGCAAAAAAGATAGATTCCACCTCGGGGAAATCAAGCACCACCCCCTCAAAATCATCAGGAATTAAAAAGACAGTTTCCTCTCCAGTTAAACAAAGGTCATCCGCCAACCAGGACAAACCCAAACTTGTTGTCATCAACAGACAGAACTCTCACTTTACCTCATTATCGGGAGAACCAAATGACACTTCCAAGGGTGGGTCCTCCAAGCAGGCAGGTCCATGTAGTCATGATACAGATTCTGATGAGGACTCAATGATCGTTGACCGCGTGAGGTCAACAGTTGCTACTGAAGGGTCGCAATCTCAGTGTGGTTCCGGAAAAAGTATGTCGTCTCGTAAACTTTCTCTAGGTGCTAATAAAGGGTCACAATCTCAGTGTGGTTCCAGCAAAAGTTCCTTATCTAGTAAACTTTCTCAAAGTAAAAAGAGGAAGAAGTTTGTCCTGAGTGACACAGACAGTGATGACCTTGACTTCTGTCAGGAGGAGACAAAAAAGAAGCCAGCGGTCAAGAGGAAGATGTCCAAGACACTACAGGACAGGAAACACCTGGGAATCTCACCTGATCGGAATTCTAATGGAGAAGCTATATGTATAGACAGCAGTGACAGTGATGAAATCTAGCCTGACAGTTTTAAATCAGTTCTGGCAGCTATGAGAAATGAAACCTAGCCCGATATTAAAATGATCACTTTATATGTTCTTCTGTTTTATCAGCTCATTATTTGGCATTAGCTTATGTGGCGCTATGTGTGTCATCAACTTTTCAACTTAAATGCTACTTATCCCAGGTGGCTGAGCACATTTTGACTAAATATGGTCTGGAGCATTGTTCAGCCAAGGGGATTCAACATTAAAAAAACACCTAGGGTGTGTTCCTTTCAGAAGAGAATGGGGGTAGAGGTAAGTGGATTGATGATATTTGTTATGAAGATTAATATTTTAAATACCTACTTCTCCAGTACAGGTAAATGGAGCCTTGGGCTAAGAGGTATCAACATTGTATAAATGGAGGGTGTGGCCCACTTCTAGGTATCCCCCTCTACTCTTTCCCTTCAAACTTTGCCCCTCCTACTCATTTTTGTTATCTTATATTGTCTGCTGAAAGGCTGTAAAAGTGGATGTAAAACCATCAAAATAAAAAATAAAATCACTTCTTTTCCTTTAGTATAAGTAAAGATACTTCAACCACATACTCAGTATATTGTAATGAACAATGTGGACTCCTTAGGGTAGAGGAGATGGACCCAACATGGGGCATAGAGGTACAAATGTAGTTATTTTTAAAACTGTTTTTGATAATTTTGAATGGATAAAGGGATTTTAGCCTAATATTGTATGGAGCAGTTATTAGGCAAATGAAAATCAATGTTTACAAAAGATGTAGCCTCCTTTGGTGCAGAAGTATTGGTCCCACAAGGTAACAAGCCTAGGGTATTTTTTTCCAATAGTTTGGTCTAAAGCATCCTGGAAAGGGAACCTATGTTGTATAATTGAAAAGTGTTCCTCCCTTCTTGCATTCTTGAAATTCCAGGTGTTATGCTGCCTTACATTCTCTGCACCCCTGGAATATGTCGTGACGAAATGAAGGCTTTATACGCACCACCTTGTGGATAAAACATGTAGACTGATTTGGTCCTTTTGTGTACATCAGAGAATTGCACAGCAGCATAATGGTAAAATTGACTGGCTTTGAAGTCAGTGTCGATCCTCTGTAATCTTCAAAGGACAGGTATCAGCCTAGCAATTTTGTTTGACCTGAGACCAATCAAATAATTATTTGCACGCCTTTAATTTTGCCATGACATATTCCAGGGATGCAGAGATTGAAAGTGACACTCAGCTGACACTGGTTTCTTTTGATGAACATCAGAGAATCAAACTGAGCCTTTGATTTTGTCAGAACATATTCCAGGGGTGCAAATATTAGCGTGTAAATGAGTGACCCCTGGAGTATCAAGGATGGCGATTCACTAATAAATTACATTTCGCCCAATGTAAGTTACACCCTTCACATATAATTATTACTATAAATGGTATTGTGTACTAATATTAGCGGTCATGATAGATTCGTCCTCCTTATGGACAGCGAAAAAGGCAAATATTTTATTAAATGCAGCCAAACTCACTTAGTATACAGTATATATGGTTATAAGGTGGGACTGTGAATTATTTCCATGTTATGATGGATTAAGTCCCTATGGGTGTGGCAGGATGCTAGAGCTAATCCCCAAAGCCTGATTGTGTCAACTCTACATGACAAGCCCAGCAGGAATACACAACACAAACAATTAGGGTAGTGATTGCAACTATTTCAAAGTTATAATCAAAGGACTGAGTCCCCAAGGGGAATGGCAGGGCAAGATTCTACAGTATAGTAAAATTCTTCATGGCCATCCATTGCTTTTGGTGATAGGGTGGGAATTGTTCATGTCCCTGTGAGTTGGAGGTAGGCTAGCACTAAGCATGCTTGATAACCAAGGTAACCCTACCTGTTCACTTTCCAATTGTTTGAAAGTCGAAATACTAGCTAATCACGCTTCTCTATTACAATCTTTCCGAATACCCATTAAGGATAAGGATACCGACCTCTGCCTCGTTTGTGCTGGATTCCGAAATTTTACCAGAATCACTATAGATAAGGTTTTATCAAGGCTTATCTTGTTACTCTACCAAGACATAATGCAAACTTAGTATGGCATTAGCAAGGTTACAATCGTATTGTGACCATATACTTGGTAAGTGGAATAATTAGATTGTGGAATTTGAAGATTTAAAAAAAAACGTTCAATCATTCTTGAACATCCTCTTCTTAAAAATGTTTTTTATATCAAGCTTTTAATTTTCAACCCATTACCCAACAATTCCTCATAATAAATAGAAAGAACGCCCTCGTTTTCTTATAAGGAGAAACAAAATTAGAGCATGTTTTGTGATAAGCACTACAAAAGCTAAAATAATTAAACAGATGTTGAAATTGTGAGAATAATAAGTCCAGTGGTAAGACTTTCCATCAGTAAGCTGACAGTAGGCACTACTATGGGAAGAAATTGTGCTCCTACTCTGGCCGACTTTTTTGGTTTTCATACAAAGCGAAATTTATTGAAAAAGTACACCCTTAGCCAATAGCAAGTCCTTCAATTTAACATTCAAATTCATCGACGACATGGTGACTTTAAATAACAAGAATTGTATTGACCGTGTTGAAATTATATACCCTCCTGAGCCTGAAATTAAGTACACTAAATTTTCCTCTACCTCAGTAATCTTCCTTAATCTTTACACATAACATAATCAAAAGAAACCTCTTAAAACTACGATTCGATAAGCGTGTCTATTTTGATTTTCCTAATGTGATCTTTCCCTTTCTTGAGAGTAACATCCGTGCTTCCTATGTTGCTGTTGATTCGGTCGGTATTCAAGAGTTTGTTGCAAATAGCATGACTTCAAAACTGTATGACTTCATCATGATATCATAGATGTAGACTGCTGACGGACAGAGTTATAACACTGTTTTTTCCCCAAAGATGCAGTTTAATGGAGACTATGGGCAAGTTTAATGGTCGTCATCATGATCTAATTGAGAAATATGCAATTTTTGTGTGATATGAAGGTCGATGTTGATAATGCTCCTTAGTGTGGTTTGTTTTCATTACCCCAGTTCTCGCTTTGTAGACGTAATATATCTTTGATCTATATTCAATACAGAAGACGCTTACTCTTGCGGAACACCTGGTCTTATTCTCATTGTATTTTTTTCATGGTTCTCCATGCCTTTGTTCAAATTTTGCCCTAGTTTTATCGATTTGGGTTCAAACTTCGTTTACTCTTCGGTATTCTTTTTTTCTTCTTCCAAGAAACACTCTTCCACCAAAAAGAGCTTAAATTTAGTTTATAGACTTTTGGATAACAATGAGTGATTATTCTACTTTAAAATCATTTCATAAATATTGTCAGTGGGAATTAGTTGGAAACTCGTCCTAAAATCCTCACATTTAAATCATTACCACTCATTCATATATAGATTCGTGCTATCTGTATATTTAGTCATAAAACATACTGGTACACTTATCAATTGATTTAATTAAAAACAGCTGTCGTTAAACTAAACAAAATACACATTTTTAAATTGCTCTTGTGCCTACACAAGATTTATATCCCAGCTACGCCCCTGTTATGTTATGGGAGGGAGGACCCATGACCACGGACTTAGATAATCTAATTCCGTGCCATGACTAAGTACAGTTAATACTGAATTTGTAGAGCCTTTTGATAAATCTTATAAGTACAGAAATCAAATTGAGGCAATGATCGTTATGAGATTTATTATGATATTAATACCCTGCAATGGTAATTCTAATAAAGTAGCCGTCAATATCAGTTTCTGCTTAAAATATCTGAAAGCTCCAGTCCTGAACGAAACTCTACTCCAGGCGATTTAACACTCGAAATTAGAATTTCTATATCCGCCAAACATGTACTTAATAAACATTTCCTCGATTAAGTCGTGGACTTTCAGTTCTGTCATACACTTTCGTCCCGATTTATCAACTGCAAAGGTTATTTCCCAGTGTAACAGATTTTTTTATGAAATCAAGTTTATAACGGAATTGTATGAATCATGGAAAATACGACGAAGTCCTTGGTTTCTTGAAATTAAGGAAGGATTATGTATCAGAGCGACGCGACAACAGGGAAAGTTCTCTTAAAATATATATACACAAGTCAGAGTTATGTTGAGTTTTTACTATAAACCGCAGGTGTATGGAATAAATTGGCTGAAACAATATTAAACTTGTACCAGAAAATGCCATTAAATGTAATTTGGTAGAGAATTAGAGTGTATAGTTGCAACTCAAGGGAGATAAATCTTCCAATCTTCACAGTTTGCGTTACAAGGGAAATGAATCTGTCTTCCTTGGTCATTATTTTGACGGTAACAAACGCAATGACTTAATAAGCGCATCGCCATATAACGTATCAGATCACATAATTCTGATATAGATATGATTACTTAAATATATCGCAAGCACTATTGGGCAGAGAATATTACTTCGCCAATAAAACTAATCAGAGCCTGTCCCAATATAATCATAATTAATCTTTGCATATGCGAAGGTATAACTTTAATTAGATTGAGCCTGTCCAAGGGATAATGACCGAAAATAAGCTCATCAATAAAACTGACCAGAGTATGATGACCTGACCAACAATACTGACCGGAAATAAGCTCACCAATAATACTGACCACCGTATCTTATCACCTGTATAATACTGAACAGAGGATATACTTGGTGGTTGTGAAATGCCTGCAATTCATACGTTAACTAATCCACAGGGGACCTGCGAATTTGTTACAGTTATAATTGGACCTAAACTAAGGCGTTCAAATTTATTTTACACGTTTAAGGGGTTTAGATCGATTTTCGGTAAAAATGCCACCCCAATGATGACATAAACGAGAAGGATGGAAAGCTCTCGATGTCGAAAAAAACGACCCATCAAACTTGCATCAAAACCCATATTTCTAATTGAATAACGAAAAATGCTTAGTACCGTTGGAAAGATGGATATTTGTTCTTCTTCATCATAAACCCCTAAACGTGTAGAATTACTAACACCCTAGTTTAGGTACAAATATAGCTGTGACAAATTCTCAGGTCCCCGTGAACTTATCTATAATAAATAAAATTTGAAGAAAACTCACGATGTAAAAGAAAAGTGTAATGACCAATCAGGCATAGAAAGGTGCATAAAATGGCTCTATAAAGTACATTGAGTGTACTTAGTAGAGACTATAAAATACACTAAGTATACTTATTAGAGACTATAAAGTACACTAAGTGTACTTATTAGAGGCTATAAAGTACACTAAGTATACTTATTAGAGACTATAAAGTACACTAAGTATACTTATTAGAGGCTATAAAATACACTAAGTATACTTATTAGAGACTATAAAGTACACTAAGTATACTTATTAGAGACTATAAAGTACACTAAGTGTACTTATTATAGACTATAAAGTATACCTATGGAATACCAAGACTCTCCAGTGTACATCAATGAACTATACACCGAGAGGATCTATCTAAGCACACCGAACGATGTCCTAATTAAAGGTGAAATAAATGAGGCATGGGCATGTGAGGTATTACAATTTCACGATTAAGTTACACTGTATTTCACAACAATTACGTA